GTACTGTGTGTTTTATGAGCAAAGATGTGGTCTTTGCCTTATAATTACAGGAAAACCAGAATTAATAAACAAAATAAAGATCTAATGCTTACATTCATTGTGGGTATTTGGTGCATGTACATGACACATCTTAAATCTTAATTCTCCCTTCCCTTCTCTTCCCTCTCTTGGTCTCCTGGACTGCTTCCTTTTTGTGAAAGATCTACCTTCCTATTTCCTTCTATAAATCCTCTATTTTGCTCTTTATTTGTACTTTGAATGTAAATATTTTATGTTGTGTGTATGATCAAAATAATAACAATAATGAAATGGGAAAGAGATTTAGAGAAAGGGAGGGAGGTGGGTATGGAAAGAAAGGAGATCAAAAATAGAATCAAGAAAAATTATGTACATGTACTTACTTCCTAAGATGAATGTAAACATCTAATACTGTAAACATGAACTGATAAAATAAAATAATAAAAATAAATACAAAAGTAAAATAAAGATCTACTGACTGATGTGGTAGAGAGTATAGGGTACTAAGGAAGCACATGCCAGCAGAGGGCTTAGCTGAGTTCCTGTAGAAGGTGTAATTTGAACTGTTCCCCCAAACTGGCGGAAGAGTCAGATTAGGAATAACTTTGACTTTTCTCACCTCCCAGAATTGGTTTTGGATCTGCAATATTTAACTGACTTTGCATTTTCAGCAGCTTCCAACCATCATATAATTTCCAAATGCAATTGGCCATCCTCTGTCAATCTACAGGATTTACCAACTGCAGCTTCCTGAGGTTCTCTACTGCCTCTAAGCTGCTGCTTCTCCTTCCATCACTGACCACTTGCTGCTACCTTGCTTTCTCCCTATGGTTGCCTTTTCTCTTCACAAGTCTTGCTGGAAAAGGCCAAGAACACATATCATAATCGACAAATAAGTGCCTTTATAGTATTTAAGATATTAAATCTGTATCAAATTTGTGAACAGTTTTAGAGGAGGTAATCTCCACATTTCAAATTTGTGAACAGTTTTAGAGGAGGTAATCTCTACATTTCAAAAGATAGGTAACCATGCAGCAAACTTACAAATAAATACAAAAGCTGATGTTGGCTCAACAGCTGTGCTTTATTGATTCTAAATATAAGAGGAGACCCAGGTTGGCCATCGGCTGGCTAATATTATCTCCTAAATATTAGAAATGTCTCTGAAGTAATAGTCACTGTATTGCTCTAAATATTCCTTATAAATATTTGGAAAAGACTGAAACAATTCTAGATTATTCGGTAATAGGACTATCTAGATCTTCACTCTGTTTTCTGATTCTTTCTTCTCTCAATATCGCCCTCTTACAACCAGCATATACATGTTCAGTTTATTTTCTGATTTTGTCCTCAGGAAAGGATCTAACTAATTAAAGTTAAAAGCCTGAGAATAATAGCTCCTAAACTAAAGAGATTATTCTCTAATCAAGGTATTTTGGAATTAAAAATAAAGTATCAGTGATAGTTTTTCTAGTTTTAGGAAATCTGAATTTTAACTCAGTTATTAACTTCATTCAGTCAACAAGGTATTAAATGCTTGCTTGTGACAGGTAACATTGTTAGGTATATAAAAGTGATGAAAAACATGGTTCTTCCACAGATCATCCAGTTTAAAACCAATAAAGTGACAGATATAAAATATATAAACAACTATGTGATTGCAAAAATAATTGTGAAATGAACAAGTTTCATGAAGGTAATACACAGATACTAGGTTGGAAAAATATGAAAGTCATAGTTAAATGGGGTAGTCAATGAAAGCTTGTCTGGAGAGGTGTACTTGCATCAAGACTTGAAAAATAAAGAGGCCCCATCCACTGCCCACAACCATCATGGAAGCCTTAGTGAGCTTCAGTGAGCCATGACAGAGGAGAGAGACCCTGCCTACCATCCCTGTGCCATCATGAAACCATCTGTCTGGAAGAATCCAGGTGCCTGGCCCATCCCTCTACAGCACAGAATGGGAAGTCAGCTCGAGAAATACGTAGGACTTGGCAACCAGCTCATCCAGAGGAAGACAGGGTAAATCCACTCTAACAAGGGCAAACACTTTGCATACAAACTCCTAATTTATGATTGATTATGTTATACAACTATAGACTTTGCCACTATGGTCTAAAGTACAAAATTAATAGTTATCACAGTTTGTCAGTTTCTAAATTGTGCTTCATGCTATCATTATTGCTAACTATACTACTGTAGCTAGCATGTCACATCTGTGGTAATCAGTTGTTCACTTTGTGTAACAATATTGGGAAGCTCTGGGGTAATAACCTCACCATACCCTACACCAAAAGACTGGGAACAGAGGCAAACAGAAACAAACATTCCACTCTCAATTAATTGGGAAGGTAGGACCTAGGGACAGACACAAACCAACAATCTCCTACACAAAGAAGATATTCCTGAAGAGCAGACTTTTCCTAAAAGGCCTTGATAATAATGATATAGGTACCAACTAAAAAAACTCACAAGGATCATTACAGAAAACAAAACAAAAATTTTTTTTGAAATATAAAATGTCACAATGAAGGAGCAAAATGCAATCTAAAACCTCCAGCCTACCCAGAATGAGTCCAGAGGACATTGACATAGAAGAAATTGAAAGTCACACACCTGAAATATCTAAAATGATAGCAACTGAAGTAAAGAAACAATCCCAGGAAGCTACAGAAGAAGTTAGAGCAGAAATAATCTCTCAAGTAAAAAAAGAAATGCCAACCATAATGAAAGAATTGCTCAGTATATCTAAAGGAAACATAAATTTAAAAAAGAGAAGCATAGGAAAATGATGGAAACTTTGAATAAACAATATAGGAAAAATTAGAATGCATGAAAAAGATTCAAACAGATATCTAGGAAATTAAAAATTCCATTCAAAGCTGGCAAAACTGGTTGAATGAGACTTAAGATAGACTTTCAAACCTTGAAGATAGGATTACAGCTAGCAATCATGAAAGGAAAAATTGCTTAAAAATAACAAGGAAACAGGAAATAACAATCCAACAGCTGTACATTAATACAAAGAAACCAATATAAGACTGATACGTGTCAACAAAAAAAGCAGAAGTCAGCACAAATGACATAAGATTTTGCAGAAGTAATAGCAGAACATTTCATAAGCATGGGAAAAGAATCTGACATACAGGTAAGTAAGGCATGTAGAAGCCCAATTAGCCATAACCAATAAATTTACTCTCAGATATCTAATAATCAAGATTGCAGAAATTCAGCACAAGAACAGACTATTAAAAGCTGTTAGAGAAAAGAAACAGATCACCTATGACGGAAAACCCTCAGAATCACAGCAGACTTCTCAACACAGTCAGGTCAAGAAGAGGCTGGTGTCAAGCATTTCAAGTCCTGAAAGAAAACCACTTCCAACCCAGACTGATGTACCCTGTAAAACTATCTTTCAAAATTAATGGAGATATAAGATACTTCCATGACAAACAACAACTGAAGAACCAACCCTACAAAGAGTACTGAAAGATATACCAGAAAGAGATAAAAATGACCACAATTTCAAGAACAACAACAGTAAGAACCAAGCAATTAAACAGAAGGGAAAAGTAGCAAACCAACAGCAGGAAAATAACCTGACAGAGATAAGCCAATACATAGCAATTATAACCATTAATATAAATTGCCTTAATTCACCAAACAAAAGAAACAGACTCAAAGAGAGGATCAAGAAACAAAATCCTACAATATGCTGTATACAAGAAACACATTTAACTCAAAAGGAAATTCATAGACTGAAAGTCAAAGGATGGAAAACAACACTCCATGTGATAGGAACTCAGAAAAAAGCAGAGGAAAACATTCTGTTTGCAGACAATGTAAACTTCAAACCAAGAATGATCAAAAGACCTAAAGGTCACTACATACTTGTTAGGGGAAAACTGCAAGAGGAAGAGATAACAATCATAAATATATATGCACAAAATCTGGGAGCACCCAATTATAAAAGACAAATATTAACAGACATCAAATAAGCAAAAACATAATCTTAATGGGGGGAGCTTTACACCCCACTGTCAGAAAGAGATAGATCAACTAGACAAAGATCAGCAAAGAAATCGGAGAACTGAACCAAACTTGTAAACAAATGAACTTAGTAGATGTTTACAGAGTGTTCCACCCTACAATAGAAGAATACACATTTTTCTCAGCTGCACACAGTATGTTTTCCAAAACCATATACTAGTGCATAGAACATGCTTAAGTAAATTCAAAGGAATTGAAATTATCCCATGCATATTTTCTGACCATAGTGGAATGAAATTGGAAACTATTAACATAAAAAAACCCACAAAAACTCCACAAACACATGGAAATTAAGTAACACTATTCTGAACAACCAATGGGTCACAGATGAAATCAAAGAAGAAATTAAAGAATGTCTGTAATCAAACAAAAGTGCAAATACAACTTATTGACTATGTAGGACACAATGAAAGCATTTCTCACAGGGGAATTTATAGTAGTGAATTCTCACATCAAGAAAACATAATGAGTACAAGAAAACAATCTAATGCTGCTCCTCAAGCTTCTAGAAAAAGAAGAGCAAGTCAGGCCTAACGCCCAAAGAAAGAAAGAAATTATAAAGAGCAGAGCAGAAATTAAGGCAACAGAGGCTAAGAAAACAATAAAAAATTAATGAATTGAAGAGTTGGTTCTTTGAAAATAAATAAATAAAATTGATAAATCCCTAGCCAACCTTATCAAAAAAAGGAAAGAAAAAACTCAAATTCATGCAATAAAGAGTGAAAAGGATGAAATCAATATAGACCATGTGGGAATTCAGGAGACTATCAATACCTACTTTGAAAATCTTTACTTGCATAGGATGGAAAACAAAGAAGAAATGGAAAGATTCCTAGAAACACATGAATTACCAAATCTGAATCAAGATGATATAAAAATTTTGAATAACCCAGTATCAGTCAATGAAATTGAAAGTAGAATTAAAAACTTACCAACAAAGAAATACCCAGGTCCTGGTGGATTCACAGCTGAATTCTACAAGAAAATTAGAGAAGATTTAATGCCAATATTCCCCAAACTCTTAAATGAAATTAAAAGGGAAGGAATTCTCCCTAACTCATTCCTGGAGGCAAGTATTACCCTGATACCAAAGCCAGAGAAAGACCCAACTAAAAAGCAAACTACAGGCCAATCTCACTAATGAACACAGATGCAAAAATCCTCAACAAAATACTAGCAAACAGAATTCAGCAAATCATCAAGAAGGTTATACACCACAACCAAGTGGGATTTATCCCAGGAATACAGGGATGGTTTAATATACACAAATCAATAAATGTAATATACCGTATCAACAGAGCCAAAGACAAAAATCATATGATCATCTCAATACATTCAGAGAAAGCTTTTGATAAAGTCCAACACTCATTTATGATAAAACCCTACAAAAAATTGGAATAGACTGTCTTTATCTCAATCTGATAAAAGCCATCTATGACAAACCAGCAGCCAGCATCATACTAACTGGACAAAAACGGAAAGCTTTCACTTTAAAATCAGGAACAAGACAAGGAGGTTCACTACCACCAACACTATTTAATATACTACAAAGCTACTGTGATAAAATCATCATGATACTGGCAAAAAAAAAAAAAAAAGATCTAAGGGTCAGTTGAACAGATTAGAAGGTACAGACACAACTACAAACACATTTAGCCACCATATCTTTGACAAAGGGACCAAACATATTCACTGGAGGAAATATAGCCTCTTTAATAAATGGTGCTGAAAGAACTGGCTTTCCACATGCCAAAGACTAAAACTAGACTCATGTCTATCCCCATGCACCAAACTAAAGTCAAAATGGATTAAAGATCTAAGTATTACAGCAGAAACACTAAATCTCCTGGAAGAGAAAGTAAGTAGAAATCTTGACAACATAGGGATAGACATAGAGTTCATGAACAAAAACCAAACTGCATGAGAAACACTTTAAAGAATCAAGAACTTGGATCTCATCTTCTTAAAAAGTTTTTACACATCAAAGGAAGTCACCAACAGAGTGAAAAGAAATCCCACAAATTGGGAAAAACTTTTAGCCAACTGTCCCTCAAAGGACTTCTATCTAGAACATACAAAGAATTTAAAAAATATCAGGCCCCCAAAATTCAAAGACCCAATCCAAAAATGGACATCTGAGATTAATACACACTTTTCAGATGAAGAATTATTAATGGCAAATAAATATATGAAAAAATATTCAACATCATTGGTCATTCAAGAAATGTAAATTAAAACAACACTGAGATTCCATCTCACCAGAGAAAGAATGATTATCATCAAAAAATCAATCAATGACAAATGTTGGTGGGGCTGTGGGGAAAGAGGAACCTTTTCCACTGTTTGTGGGTATGCAGACTGATACAACCACTATGGAAATCAGTGTGGAGATTTCTCACAAAACTAGAATTAGAGGTCCTACTTGATCAAGCTATTTCCCTTTTGGGTATTTTCCCAGATGAGTTAAAAACATTATACCACAGTGGTATATGTGGAGCCGTGTTTATAGCAGCACAATTTGTAATAGCTAATTCGTGGAAACAACCTAAATGTCTGTCAACCAAGGAATGGATCAAAAAGATGTGGTATTTTTATACAATGAATATTACTCAGCTATAAAGAAAGATAAACTTGAGACTTTTATAGGTAAATGGATGCAAGTAGAGATCATACTATTAAGTGAAATAAATCAGACTCACATGTGTAAACATTGTATTGTCTCCCTAGTGTAAGAAACTGAAAGACTAACTAAGATCCAAATGGAACAATAGATATTGTGAAAGGGAAAAAAAACTTCCTAAAAAGAAAGAACAACTGGAATGGGGGAAAGGAGAAAAGAAGGAAGAAATATGTATATATATGATAGCTAATATAATTGTACTACTAATTTCTAATAGTTCACTGAAAGGAACAGTTAGTGTTTATATTGTTTGATCAATCTTACATGACTATATCTGGTAATCTCAGCAACTACTTTAAAGATAGCAATACACAATATAATAACAATTGTTAATTTCCTATCATCTTGTTTTGAAATTCTGTATCATTTTTATGGTTTTTAAAATTCTCTTTAAAATACAAAAAGAAAAAAGAAAAAAGGCTTGCACATTGATCTCTTCTAGGTATTCTAGTATAAAAGCATTTCTGAAAAACTTAAGAAATTCATTAATTAATGTTATATATTATTCCTGGATGGTAAAGGTGTATTGAAATAAAAATATAGGTAAGGGATGTACTGTGAGTACATCATAGAGTTATAAATGTGGTATAATTTTATCTGGGGAGTGGAAAAAGAAGGGTATTTTTAAAGGCCTTTACTTCTATCTGAGTATATTTAAAATTTACCATTTATTGTGAAGAAAAACTCTACAACAGGAACATTTGTTAATTTTGGATGACAGACACCCAGGTGTTTGTTACACAGATGTTAGAGTTAGTAAAGAAAGATATTATTTACATTTCTATAAACTCAAGTAGAGACATGGAAGATGTAAAAATGACAAAACAAAACTCAGAGATGAAAAACTTAGTGTTGGAGATATTTTTTAAATACACTAAATCTGATGAACAGCAAATTAGTCATTACAGAGAATACATTGTACCTAAAAACAAGGTAATAGGAAATATCAAAAAAGAAATGATGGAAGAAAAGATTAAAACAATAGAGATTCACTGAGATAATTTTAAAAATCACAGGGAAGTAGAAAGAACTCATAGCCAAAACAACTTTTAAAAAAGCTGAAGATTAACACTCCCTGATTTCAAGATAAGTATAATCAAGGTAGTGTGGTTTTGGCATGAAAATAAGTAAACAGACTAATGAAGAAGAGAGAAACTGACCTATATGTTTATAGACAACTTGTTTTGACAAATGTAAAAAGGTAATTCAGTTGAGAAAAGATTATCTTTTAAAAAATAATTCTGGAATAATTGTAAGTGTACATACAGAAAAAGAAACATTAATACTTACCTCATGCCATAAACAGAAATTAATTCAAAATGAACCCTACACCTAAACATAGAATATAAAGCTATCAAATTTTTGGAAGAAAGTATAGTGAAAATCTTTGTGGTCCTGATGAGGCAAATGATTTTTTAAATAGGACACCAAAAGCACAAAGCAGGAAATATAAAATTGGTCAGTTATGCGTCATCAAAATTGAAGATGCTTGCTTGTTAAAAGACAGTGAAAACACAAACCAAAGACTAGGAGAAAATATTTGCAAACCCTATATAGGTTAATGCAGAAAAAATATTACATATTTGCAGAATTCAATATGAAGAAAACACTCAGTTTAATAATGGACAGAAGATCACAAAATACACTCAGCATCATTTCTTACTAGGGATATACAAATTAAAGCCACACAGATAACACTATACATGTAGTAGAATTAAAATTTAAATACTAACCATACAAATGTTGACAAGGATGGGGAAGCTCAATGCGTCTACACTGCTGATATGGGAATGAAAAATGGTGCCACCATGCTGGAAAAAGTTTGGCAGCTTCCTACCACATGATCCGACCATTGTGTTCCTAGGGGTTTTCCCAAAATAAATCAAAGCACATGTCATACACAAATGATCATATCAGCTTTATTTGTAATAGGTCAAACTAGAAACAACACATTCACCAACTTGTGAATGAATAGAAAAAATGACACATTTATAAAATGGAATACTCTGCTCATCAATCAAAAAGGATGAATTGCATATGCATGAAACAATATGGGTGAATCTCAGAATAATTAGGTTTGGTGAGAAAATGAAACAGACAATATTAAAAAATATTTCAAATGACAGTTTCAGTTAACCTTATTGATTTGCATTTTGTCATCTAAAGCTACAATTCTGAGAGCTTTTAAGTATTACATGAACATTCTTTTTATTACATAAAATCATCCCATGTACATAAAATTTTAGAATATATAAGCTAATGTACAATGACATAAAGCAGCTTTTGGTTGCCTAGGATCTTGTGAAGGGCCAGAAAGAATGGGAGAGATTACAGAAGATACTAAGAGACTTGAGGGGTCATTATGCACATGATTTTGTTTGTGGTGATAGTTTCATAGGGAAACACACGGCAAAACTTACCAGTTATGCACTTTTTTTGAAAATGGACGCAACTAGAGACCACACTCATAAGTGAAATAAATCAGACCCACATTTGTAAAGACCGTATTGTCTCCCTAGTGTAAGAACCTGAAAGAGTGAATAAAATCTAGGAAGTACAATAGACACTGTGAAAGGGAAGGAAACTGCTCGAAAGGAAAGAACAACTGGGATGAGGGAAAAGAGAAAAGAAGGAAGGCGGAAAAAAATATATATGTATACACAGGATAACTAACATTGTTGTACTACTGACTTTTATTCCTCTATTGAAAGGAACAGTTTATGTTTAAGTGTATGATCAATCTTACATGTCTGTATTTGTTTATCTGAGTATTCAAATTGAAGATATCAATACATAATACAATAACCATGGTTAATTTCCTATCACCTTGTCTGAGATTCTGTATTGCTTGTATTGTTTTTGTGCTATTTTCTAAATGTATGTGTGTTTGTTAAGATTTTTTGTTCCTTTATCTTTAAAATAAAAAATTTAAAAAACAATTATGCATTTTAAATATATGCAGCATATTATAGGTTAATTATTCCTCCATTAAGCTTTTAGAAGAGACAAAGATAAGAAGCAGAAGGGAGAGGAGGAAGAAGCCACTACAGTTTAGAGAAGTTGTGCTTGCTGGAAATACAACTTTGGTCATCATTATTGTACAGAAAGTACTTTAAACCTGAGGAATGAATGAAGCCACCTACAGAAATATTAGTCTGAAAAGAAAGGGCGGGGCTAGGATACAGCCTTAAAAAACACTAAAATGTAGAAGTTTAAGACAGAGAGTCATGACTAATTTTCATTTTCCTTGAGTTGTTTAAAACTAATAACAAATTTGTAGCATCTAATCACCATT